ACCGGCGACACGTCCCTCCTCGGCAGCGCCACAACGTGGCCCTTGAAGCGCTACGGCCGCTTCCTACCCCCGAGGGACGGCGACGATGAAGGGCAAAACACCTCCTCTTGGAAGGTGATGGTCGGCGCGGGGGGCGTGGCTGCTCGGGTTTGCTGTAACTGCCTGCGGTGAGGCTAGGAGGCCGCTATGTACCGAGCAGTAATAAGTGAGGCCTTTGCGGGTCTCTTTGTAAGTCCAGAGCTAATGCAGGAGTTGGGAGAGATTTTTCTTCATGAATTACTAATATAAAGACATCACTGATATGATGGTTAGTGGCCCGCTCATTTTCTTCTTCAGCAGTGACCTGTGGTAGTAAAAACTATAGCTCAAGTTGGAAGAGTCCAGATGGTTGTTTAAAGTAGTTAAATCTGTATATGGAGTTATAATTAGTAAAAATTCTTAAATGTGCCTCCTGTCTGTGGCAGTGGAGGGCAAGTTGCATTACTGAGAGGTAAATTATGCACCTGACTTCTGGCACGGACCTTTGAAACCTTTTATTTTGCACTAGAAATGGAAAATGTATATTCTGTGCTTACAGGGCTCGATTTTTGTTTTCTCTATCTTTTTAAAGGTTTTTGAATCAAATGAAGAATCAGGCCATCTTATCCTTACCATTGTTGTATCTGGCCATTTCTTTATTTCCCAAGGGCGAACAGTACTGGTAAGTTTCTCATGTATAAAGAACACTTCTCCTTTCATGTTAGCACCAGTATTAACTTTGTGTCCCTTCTTAGCTTCATGTTCTCTCCCACCCAAAGGAAACTGCCAATTTTATTTTGCTCAAGGAAATTCTCATGTGCTGCTTTCTCTCTGCGTTCCTTAGAATAATACTAAATGCATTATTTCATACTGAGGAACAGTTTCTTCTGTGGTTCTAAAAAATCTAGATTAAGACGTAATACTAAGCGCTGCTGATGTTGAGAGATACGTATGGTTTTTTCACAATTCTTCTGCCTAAGAAAACAGAGAAAATACACTGTTAAGAAAAAGAATATAACTGTAATTTCCTATAAGATTTGCTATATGATCCAGCTAGCTTCTTGCCAATGTCCTGTTAGTATTTTGGTTTTGCTAATCTGGTTTATCAAAGGGTATGTTTTTTTATTGTGTTGGGTAATATGACCTAACATACAACTTGCATTCACAGAGACAAAATAACAGCTTTAGAGTTTGGAGCTGATTTTCCTGTAGCCTGTACTTAAACTTAAGTATGACCAGCTCCTAAACTGTAAAGATTTCACAATGACACTGAAGAGGTTAAAAGAAACACTCCATCTAGGAGGAGTTGGTTTGATACTCATGGCAGAAAAGGCCTGTGCTGAAAAGTGGAATCAAGCGTGTTCAGTGAATATCGCTGATACTCACTGATGATAACAAGTAGGAATTGGCTGATAAATATATCAGAAAGCTATTACAAACCACTGGAAGATACTGCAGTATTACGATAACAAAGACTTTTTTTTTTTTTAATACAGAATGTATAAGAGAGTATGTTGTAGCTTTAAATATGTATAAGCTTATAAATTAGTTTTTACTGTGGCTCTTGAAAGGTCTTAAACTTACAGAAGCATCTTGTAAGTATAGGGGGAGAACCAAGGATACTCTTGAATTTTTTTGGTCTGTGAGTGTGTTAAGAATATTGAATAGATAATGAATGAGCTAAGAGAGCTGTCAGCTGTCAGTCTGGATACCCCTCATAAAAGACATGGTATTTGGCTCACATATTTAGTGAGGACAAGTTGAATGTTCTTGGACAAGGTAGAAATGGAACATGGAAAGTATTTTAGCAGTTGTGTTGAATAAGAAAAAGGGATGGAGTAATTGAAAGTCCAGATAGTTAAAAGGAAATGCAACTGAAACGAGACTCACTGCCATCTCTTACCAAATTCTGCTTGGAATGAATCAGTGCAGAAGGCACCTCTCCTGGGGCTGCCCCTGTTTTCAGTGTCCCGATCAGATGGCTGTAGTAGTAACTAGTAGACTTACATTATTCTGTAGAATGTCCTTGAAATAACCATATAAAGGCTAACTGAAAGTAAGTTTTAATAACTAACGAAAGAGCAAAAAAGGCACAGCCAAAAGCTGTACCCTTTAAAGACTGCATCTGGTAAAGACTGAATCTGGCAAGTAACAATGGGCAGATAAAAGTGTGCTGTCGTAAGGGATGCGTGCACAGGAAGTATCAGAAAAGCTTTATAAAGACTTGGCTGAGAAAAGCACTTTCTTGCAGCTCTTGGGTTTAGTGGCTAGTGAAGCTTTCAAGCGTCTGCCTCGCTTGAAATGCCAGACAAGGAATTTCTGAGATCTTTCAGGTCTGTTTCAGCTTCTAAGAGACACTAAGATATTGCCTTAATGATCACAGCCTAAGAATAGTGCAGAACAGAGGTGGAACAGACATGATTGGTAAATGAGACCAAAATATAATACTGAGAGTTTAAAAGAAAAAAAAAAAAAAGTTGTTATTTTGGCAATACTTCTATACCAACCTTAAGGCCAACACCAATAACAATTTATTAAGCGCTAGAGAAAAGTGTCCTCTGCATTTTAAAACCTGACTGTCAAATCCTGTGGGTGCAGTTCTTTTAGTACCTATAACTGGGGTCATGGTGCAGGTGTGTTCTGTGCTTACAGGACCAAACTAGTGTGAAATGCACTGGTACAATATGCCCTATGCCAGTTTGTATTTCTCAGAGATTGGGGCAGTTGCAGTCCTCCCACCGTTCCTCTTCAACACACTTGGCTCGCTGAAAAACCTAGCACATACCCAACCCACTAGTTCTGAACCTGGGCGGGCAGCTTCAGAACTGTGTTAGGTTTCCTGTTTACAAGGGATTTGGTCCAGCACATCTGGCTTAGCTTTGCTGCTTAGGCTCGTTCCTTAGGCACGTGCCCTCCCAGAAATGCGTCGTCCCTTTTCCCAACGCTGCGTAAGACTGATAGGAACTGATAAAATTCTTTTCCCCTGGACAAGCCCAATCAACGGGTATCATTTCAGTCTTTGAGGAACAGTCTGTGGAATCTCTTTAGTAAAGCAGCCAGTATCCTCAAACAGAAAGGTGTCGCAAAGGGATTGTGCTGAAAGAACCAGCACAGGCACTGATACTGTTGGCCCGTAGCTGGTAGCAGCTCACAATGCAGTAGACTCAAAGCTAGCCAGAGCTGCACGGGCCACTGGTGAAATTGTGCAAGCCCCTTACTGCGATGCCACGTAACAAAAAAGTTGCAGTACTGCGCACTGTGTGTTACTGCTGTAGAAATAATCAGACTGCAAAAACATTAATCTCACTGGTTCCATCTCCCTCTGGTCTCCAGCTCTCGGGAGCTGTCAGAAACCTGTCATAGTATTTAAACAGGCTTTGCATGACTAAGCACATATAGTTCTTTAGAGTCTGTCACAGACCAAATCCTCTCACTGGGGGTCCGTTATAATAGACGTTTTGTCACAGATGATAATGCACAAGTTTCTGCTCCCGAGGGAATGTATCGAGTTTGACAGAATGCTGCAATTGTTGGAATGATTCAGCTCCTGGTTTTACTGTGTTCGCTCACTGCTACTTGCTGGCCTGGGCTACTGAGTATTTCCTTTTTATTGCCAAGGTGTTCTCCAGCACGTACGTGCTGCCTTACTCGCACTGAAATTCCCTCTGATGTAGTTACTGAACTGTTTCTTGCTATGTAGTAACTGCATCCTTTAAGTTGTTGATGTCTAGTCTTTTGATCTATCTTCTAATCCCTACTTTTCAGACCTTTTGATGTAGTACAGGCTCCTGGTTTTGAGGGAACGGGATAACAATTATCGTAGCTTTGTAGCTTGTACCTCTGAAGAGGAACACGGTGAGGCACAAGATCTGTGTCACAGGGGCACCATTTCCTTCTCAACTTGAATAACTATATTGTATTTTTGTAAAATTTCCATGAATAAAGGAATTTTTTTTTCCTCTCTAATCCAAGAATGAACTGAACTGCTAACCAAAGTCAAGAATTCATTCAGTGGTGACTGTTCCTAGCTATTTAATTTTTTTTTAACTGCAGCAGCAATGGTAGAGCAGGAACCCTTCCCCCCCCACGAATTTTAATGTGAACCATCCTAAGCAAGAGTTTTTAAAAATCAAACTTTTCATCCAGCATCTGGAGCAAAGAAAACTTATTAATTAGATGCTTTTCAAATGGTTAACACTGTAGTATATTGTTATCTCTTCTGGTTTAAAATTGGCAAGGAGTGTAGTAAAATCAGTCCATTAATAGATGCAAACTATCTTGGTTTGTACTTTGTTTTCTTTAGGAAGATGAAAGCCAGAGTGCATCTGTTCTTCAGTGGCGTGTACATTTTACAAAAGCCAAAATGAACCTTTTTAGCTGCCAGCAAGCTCTGCGTTACGCTGATAATACTGGAGGTGGATGCTTTTTAAAAGGTCCAGAAAAAAAGATCAAAGTCGCACACTGAAAAGTGCGAACTTCCAGTCTTTGGCTGGTTTGCCTTTCTGTAGAACTTTTCTTTGTTCCTTCTGCAGTGAACGGTGATGTCAACTGAAGTAACGCGTGCCTGAACTTGGTGCTGATCAGCTTCATAATTAGTTTTCCGCTAAACTCATCTCGATTGGCCAACGTGCTAGTGATCGCTCCCAATGTTTGCTCTCTTAGTGAGCATGGGTCCAACAGATACCTTTCTTTGGACGAAGGCATATTTTTGGCACTGCTTAGTGATTCCTTCATCAAACTTTTTTCATGTTGAGTGATGATTTATGAAATACTAAAATACATAAACTACTTTCTGTAATATACTCTCCTGTCAGCATGGAAGCAAGAGTGGCAGCTTTTGTGTGAGTTATTTATTTAGTGAACCCTCTTCTTTGGTGTCTACCTTTCATCTACAAGTCCATTTGCACAAAACTGAGGTGAAGGAGTTGTGTAGAAATGGAAATCTTTATTTCATTGGTGGTTAGATTAAGATGACTTATTCTAGGAAGAATATTCAAGTGTTCCTGACTTGATATCAAAATATTTTCGCTATAATGGAGGTATTTATGTATTCTTGTAGTCCTTTTATTTTCTTAAAGCAGGAGTGTTAAGAAACCTTTTCTTGTTCTTAAAGAATGGTAGTTATTTAGAGCCAAGTGAGATTATTACTCTTCTATGATCCATTTCTAAGAGCAACATTTTTAAAAAAGCAATAAAACATTCACATATCCTAAGAACCAATTTTTTAAAAGTACATAGAGGAAACTACAGGATTATTTTCATGAGCAATAAAACAGTAGAATATTTAATGAATCCCCTTCTAGCAGTATTTTCACTGAAGCTGAAATACTATTTTCTTGCCCAAAAGAATGCTACAACGTGTGCAGTGAGTCTCAGCACCTCTAAACCAGGCACATGGGTAAAATACCATGTGCTGAGCACGCTGCTGTGTGGTGAGGTGCCGTAGGTTTGAAATGATTGATTATGGTACCTGAGACTGCTCCAGCACCAGTCATTAACGTACCCCCATGCTGCTATACCAAGTAATTGTGGACGTGTTCAGTGATTCCATCAGTTGCTCAAAGAAAACAAATTATTTTAATGGGTAAACTTGGGGAACGGGTACGCATTCAAGATCACTTTAAACATTCTTTAATAACACTGCCGGAGACATACTTGAAACTATGTTAACAAGGAAACAAC